GGCGGAACGGGGACCCGGGGCGTGAGCCTGTTCCCTTTCCGGGACCCAAAGCTTGGTTTTGATCATTTTCGTCGTTCCATTAAGTAGACCGGATTAGATTCCGTAATCCCGGCTTTTTCTCCCGCTGTCTTGGCACTTCCGCTTCCGGTCGGGCCCACAGCCCCCGTCTCCACGCCCCCTTTGTTTCCAAAATGGCGGTTGGGAGGTTTGCGGCGGGGAGCCACCCCAATAGCTTCTTCACGTGGACGAGGGCAGCGCCGCGGGGAGGCGGGGGCGCCGGGCCGGCTCCCAGGGTTGCGAGGCGCCCGTTGCGTGTGCACCTCACCTGCCCGATCGTCGCGAGCCTGAGTGCCCACTCCATGCGCTCACCTGGGCGTTTGCACCCCCGACCACAGCACAGTGGGGAGTCTGCCCCCTCGCCCCCTCGTTTCACCTCTAGCTGGGATGGGCTGGGAATCCTGGCCTATGCCCAACCTCGGGGCACGAAACGTCCGTGTCACTTGGCCTAACGGAGAGAGCAGGGGCCCCGAGGGCGTCGTGGGAACGTCACTTTGTGAGGCGCTGATTGTAGTGGCCAGAGGAAGGTGCCCCCAGGTAGAGCCTGTGGGTGGTCAGAGCCAAGCACGTGGCACGTTGCCTTTCCGCTGGCCCCCACCCCCCACCCCACCCAGTCCTCAGCAGTGGTTAGTGGGTCTTTTTGGTGTCCTGGGTCTTCCTTGTCTTTGGTTTTTTTCGGGTGAACAATCAGAGGCCCTGGCAGTGCTGAGGACCTGGGGTGGGTGTTTGGTGCTGGACAGTGCTGACCATCAGAGACACTGTCCCTGGTTGGAGCTGTGCAAGACAGAAGGATCTGCTTCTGTGATCTTAGAACCCCACAGGTGTTGGCAAGTGGCTGGCTCAGGCTTGGCAGTCGTGCCCTAAGGAGCGGCTCTTGGTTTCAAACTGCAGACCTTGTGGTTAGTGGTCCAGTGGCAGACAGTCACATTTTTCTCCCTGGGTTTGAGGGAGGTCTGAGAGGATGATGAGTGTGGTAGTGGTGGTAGCCAGAGTTCAGCTTTTGTCAGTGTTTCCCAAGAGCCCTATGCTGGGGTGGCAGAAACGCTGTCATTCCCTGGCAGAGGAGGAAATTGAGGCTTGATTCTCACTCAGCTGGTCCTTGGTTAGAGCTTCGGGGTGGCCTATGTAACATGCCTGTTTCCCAGGTTCTGGGCTCCCCCTTAGAGGGTCTGAGCAGGAATGGAAGGGAAAGGGGTGTCTGCTGCGGGCTCCCACTGCTGCCCCAGGGCGAACCCTTGCATTGCTTTTTCTGTGGAAACACCCACCCTTGGCCTGTAGAGCCCTTGTGAGTTTTGTGTCCTGTCCTTTCCCCCTGCAGCTCACCTTGCCCTTCAGTCCAGGGGAGACCTGTTTGGGAGAAAGGCCTGGCTTCACTTACATGCCCCTCTGGAGTGGGAGCCTTGTAACCCACCTGTCACCCAGGTCTTTCTGCCCATCACTTGTGTACGGGGTGCCGGTCTCTGAGTCTGGGTGGTCACCAGGTGCAGACCTTGCCATCACCCTGCTGTCTGACTTGGGATAAGTCAGAGCTGCCACCTGAGCTCAGTGAGGAAGGGAGGGTCCCTGCCAGCGCCTTCCCTTCTAGGGAGTGCTCCCTAGCCCTCAAGCCCACTTGACTGAAGGCTCAGGATTCCCTAAGGGCAGCCAGCCTGCTGGGGTTGGTAGAAACCCCCCAGAATTCCCCACTACTGGCCCCTTGGCTCTGGGGCTTGCAAGGGGGAGGGACTGGAGTTGGGCACCCACCCTGGGCTTGGCTCTGGGAACCTGGACATCCCTGCCTGTTCTGAAAGGTGAGCTGGGTCCTACATTATTCACTCAGTGGGACAGGGACTGGGACAGGCTTGAGTTTCCCGCTGCACAAGGTATCTGGTCCCGCATGGCACCTGACCCCTTGTGGCCAGCTGCGAGGGTGGGGTACTCTGTCCCCAGCTTCCATCCCTGCCCCCTCAGAGACTTCCGCCTCCGTGCCCGGGTGGGGTGGTGTCAGTAAGCCTCAACACCCCCCTCCCTCCCAGAACGGGACAAGGAGAACCGCCACCGGAAGCGCAGCCACAGCCGCTCTCGCAGCCGGGACCGCAAGAGGAGGAGCCGCAGCCGGGACCGCCGCAACCGGGACCAGCGCAGCGCCTCCAGGGACAGGCGGCGGCGCAGGTAGGGTGCTGCCAGCAGGGCAGGGGCTCCCGTCTGGCCTGCTCTGGGGACAGGACAGACTGGGACTCTGTGCAGGGCCCCATGGTGCCCTGTCTCGTGGGCTCTGTCTCGTCTCCTGTGACTGGGTGGCCTGGGAGGGTTGTTGGTCCGTTATCACTCTCCCAAGCTTTCCCTTGGTTCTCTGTCCGTCCTATTTGGGTGGGCAGGGCTGGAGTGGTCTGTCTTCTGCCGTTGTTTTGGGTGGGAGCAGTGGGGGGGGTGGTGGCAGGGCTGAGGGGTGCTTGCCTATCCCTGAGGCTCAGTGTCCTGTGTGTGTGGGTGGGGGTGGAGGTGTTTGGGGAAGATGATCCCTCATCACCCTTCCCCACACCTTTCTCTCCCGGTCCCCCAGCAAACCTTTGACCAGAGGCGCTAAAGAGGAGCATGGTGGACTGATGTGAGCTGAGCATACCTGCCCCCCCCACGTCCCCTCCCAGCCCCAATCTGTCCTGCACAGTTCCCCCCCCCAGCTGATCGGGTGGGGGCGGGAGGACCCAGGGACACATGGGCTGGACTTGGTCAGACTAAGGTGCCCTCCTGCTCCCAGCCGCTCCCCTCGCCATGAGAAGAAGAAGAAGGTTCGGAAGTACTGGGACGTGCCCCCGCCTGGCTTCGAGCACATCACGCCCATGCAGTACAAGGCCATGCAAGGTAGGCCGCAGGCTCGATGGGAGCCCTGATGCCTGGGGGATGAGGCCTCTGTCTGAGGGGGCCTCAGGATGGGTCCTGGGAGCGGGTGGCAGTGCTGGGTTCCTGCTGCGCCTCAGGGTGCTGCTCTCATTAATGCTGCCCCACTTTCTTCAAGCTGCGGGTCAGATCCCGGCCACTGCCCTGCTTCCCACCATGACCCCCGATGGCCTGGCTGTGACCCCAACACCGGTGCCTGTGGTCGGCAGCCAGATGACCAGACAGGCCCGACGCCTTTATGTGGGAAACATCCCCTTTGGCATCACTGAGGTACTGCCCTGCCCCTGGTCCTCCCTCTCCCCCTCCCCGACCCTTCCCCTCAACCTGCACGGGTCAGACTCTGCTCCTGCAAGACCCCCCGGCCCCCTCCCAGACGGACGGATGGAGTTGAGCCAGCCAGGGGCCGGGCTGGGGGTGGCCCTTTCCCTCCCCCTCCTCTCCCCTCCCCCATCTGCCCTCCCCCACCCTCCTCGGCCCCCAGGGCTCCAGCGCACACATAAGTGACCACCCTCGGAGAGACGGGGGAGACGCAGACACGGCGCACACAGACACAGACGCACGCTGCCCTCTTGCTTCTCTGACACGCCTCCCTCTGGCCTGTCCCATCCTCTCCCTCCCGTGGTCGCTGCTCTCTGGTTTCGATCGCCCCGACCTCCTCCCTTCCCTCCCCTCCCCGCCCTCTCCTCCCCATCCCTCTCCCCACCCCTTCCCATGGCCCCCCAAGAATCCCGAGATCAAAGAGTTGTTTCCATTTCTCTTTAAAGTGAAATATTGTGGGGCTGAGATCCCTCGTAGCAACAAAAAGTTTGCTACCATCGTCGAAGGCAAGTAAGGCCCATTCTGACTTTCTCAACCTGCACTTTGCTACGTTTGATAAACCAGCCCCCGGACTCCAGGGCCAGACCCCTCCACATCACTCTTCTCTCCTCCTCCCCCGCCCCCACTCTCACCTCCTCTCTCTGTCTCTGTCTACCTCTGCCACGCCGCGTGTGCTGTCTCGCGCCGTGTGTCCCCTGTGTCTGCCCGTCCGTCTGTTCACCTGCTGTCTTTCTCTGCCCCTGGCGCTCCCTGGCTCCTGCCTGCTTTGAGTTCGTCCCCACCCTTCCTCTTCTTCTCTCCTCTGTGTGTGTCCCTTGCGTCCCTCTGTGCCTGGCCTCTCTGTGCTGTATGTCCGTCCCCCCCTCGTGTCCATGCCGGTCCCCTGCCGTCTGGCCGCTGTGCCACCTTGTGCCCTCCTTCCCTTTCCACTCTCGACCACCCCCGCCCTATCATGTTCCACGGGCTCTTTGCCCTCCCTTGCCCTCCCCCTTTGCCCCCACACCCCTCTGTGTCTCCCTCTCTCACCCCCCTCCTCTCTCCACCCCTCCCTGCCCCGTCTCCTCTTCCCGCTGTAGGAGGCCATGATGGACTTCTTCAACGCCCAGATGCGCTTGGGCGGCCTGACACAGGCCCCTGGAAACCCAGTCCTGGCTGTGCAGATCAACCAGGACAAGAACTTTGCATTTCTGGAGGTGAGTCAGGTGGTAGGAGAGGACCCGTCGCCACGTTGGGGCTGCCTTCCCTCCCTTTCTCACACCTTTCAGTGCACGCAGCCCACGGCTCTGCCCTGGCCATGCTGCCTGGACTGGACACGCCCTCCTGGGTCCTCAAACTGGGAGGGGTGAGGGCAGTTCTCAGTAGCAGTGCTCCCGTCTCTACGAGCCACCCCGGGCCACTGGCAGTGTTTGTCCCCGGAGCCTGGGGTGCCTGCCTGGCCCTGTCTCCTCACCCTTCCTCCCTCTTGCAGTTCCGCTCAGTGGATGAGACCACCCAGGCCATGGCCTTCGACGGCATCATCTTCCAGGGTCAGTCGCTGAAGATCCGCAGACCACATGACTACCAGCCTCTGCCTGGCATGTCGGAGAACCCCTCCGTCTATGTGCCCGGTGAGTGGGGTGCCCTCGGAGCCCCTGGGAGGGCCCACCTGGAGAGGAGTTCTTTCAGAGGGTCTTGGGGTGGGGGCGTTGCCCGCATTGAGACTGGTAGAGCTGCCCGGCCAGGCTGGAAGGGGGTGGCGGCTGTCTGCTGGCAGTTGGGGTCCTGTGCCCACTCTGAGGCCGCCTGGCTCTGGGCCCCTGGGCAGGCCGCGTGATTTCATCACAGGAGGGAGTTCATGAACCTACTGTGTGAGTGGGTGTGAACATGCATACCTGCGTGTGTAACGGGTGAACGTGCGTGGGTGCGAGCAGTGCGGTGTCGGCAGAGCTCGGTGTGGGGCCTGGCGCGTGGACGCCGTCTGCCTTCCCGCGCCCCTTGAATCCTGTGCTCTGGGCCCATTCCCTGCAGGCCTGGCCGGTGGACTGTACAGTGACGGCTCGGCACGCTCTGTCCTTCCAGGGCCAGGTAGTACATGCTTTCAGCTTCACGGCCCCGCTGGGACCGCTCCCTCCCTCCCTCCGCTCGGCTGCCACCGACCAGAGGCTGCCTGCCCGGGCCTGGCGGGCGCTGCCAGCACAGCTCGTACGGCGCCACCCTTTGAACTCCACGCCATTTCCACAAACGAGGAGTCTCCCGTCCTGGCCCCAGCAGAGCCCTGTGTTGCCTGCTCTGGGTGTTGGGGTGGAGCTAGCCAGGCCCCTGGGATCTAGGAGAACTTGGGCTTCTCCTGGGGACCCCTTAGAGGGTAACGAAACATTGGGCCCTGGACGTTCTTGCCATCACACCAGGGCATTAGAGGCCCAGTACACACTGACCTGCTGCAGTCTGGGTGCCCAGATGGATGTTTGTGTGTGTGTGCGTGTGCATGTGCGTGTGCGCATGCCCGTCTCTCCCTTACCCATCTCAGGCCAGCTGCACGTTATTTTTGGGTAACCGGATGAACTGGCGGCTGGTCAGTTTTCTTCCTGTTCAGTGATTTGCCCGCATTCGGTTTCACGTCGTCAGTCACCATCTCCGCTGTGTGCCTTCTCTTTATCCACTTCTCCCCCGGTCCCTTCCTCTGCCAACCTTCCTGCCCTTTGGCCTCTGCCTTGGGCACATGGTGCCTATCTCAGATGCCCATTAGCCAAGGTGCTCCCAACCCTTGGTGGTGGCGCTCACCTTACCTTGTGGGCCACCTGTGATTGGGATGGGCGATAGAGTCCAGATTTAGTCTTGGCTTATGGCAACCCTATTTTGGGTAGGTTTTATGTTTGGGGTCTTGTCTCTCACTTGATCCAGACCTATTTCCATCCCTTCTAGAGACCTGTGCTTGGCGCTTGCTTGTAGGTCTTGCCATGGAGGCTGGACGTCACAGGGTCCCTTCGTCCATTGGGGGTTTGCATGTGTCTTGGATGGCCTTTTCTCTGATTTGCTCAAGACTTGTGGTTTCCTTGTGCCCCTCTCCCAGGGAGTCCTGAGTGCTCTTGGAGGCTCGCTGCGGGCTGCCAGGTGTGGCTCTGAGTGTGGAAGAGGGATTGCCTAGTCCGTCGGTTTAGTATCGGGGCAGCCAGTTCCCACCCAGGGACCAAGTGGGGTTTTGTAAGTCAAGTTTTATTGGCACAGGGCTGTGCCGTGGCTACTGGCTGCATGCGCAGCCCAGGCTCAGCACAGACCCAGGCCTTGGCAGGGAAGGTTGCTGACCCTGCTGTGGTGAGGACTGCAGCCACGAGTGACTTGTGGAGGCCTTGCGCCAGGGCGTGCAACGCCCCCACTCCGCCCGCCTCTGTGTGTGGTGGTGGTGCTGGCAGCTGCTGCTTCCGCGTGGCTGCCCTCAGTGGTTTGTCTTTCACGCTGAGAGCTGGGGGAGGAGCCTCTGGCAGAGAAGGTTACAAGGTGAGCAGTGCACACCCGCCCGCTGCTCTAGAGTTACTGCTCAGCAGCCGTGGGGAGCACTCACACACCCTGTCCCGAATGGTTGCTTTGGGTTGGTGAGATTAGTTTTTGGGTTTCCTCGGGGTGAACGTTTAACCTGGCAGGTTGGGTGAGTGTCAGCAGTTCACAGCTGGTGGGCTGTGACCCCGACTGTGGGCTGTTCCCACAGTACGACAGCACAGTTCCCCACTTTTCCCGGCTCTGTTTTCCATTCTCCTTCCTCCCTGAGTGCCCTGCCCATTGCGCTTTCTCCCTGGATGATTGCTCCGAAGTGTCTGCTTCCCTTCTAGGCCTCTTGGGCCTTTGACAGAGTTTGGGGCTGAGTTCAGTTCCAGGGGTGTCTAAAGGCCCGAAGCTCTGGGGTCGTCTTGCTCCGAGTGGGGGGGAAAGGGAGGGTGGTGCCCTTCAGGGGCAGTGTAGATGCCCCACAGTGCGGCGGGTGTTGAGGACTGCATGCTCGGTAATCTCCAGCACCAGCGAGCCAGGGACCTGCCCGAGCCCATGACCAGTCCCCGCGCCCCTTTTAAAAGCAGCAGGGTTAGGGTTACAGCAGGGACCGCTTCCCAGTTAGTGTGGAGACGGTGAAAATCCACCCCCCACCCCCAGTCCTCTGAAGCCCCATCTTGAATTTTTGGGGCGGTGGGGGCGGGGTGGGCAGTCAGATGTCTGGTGACCTAAGGTACTAAAGCTGCAGTTTGAGTAGGGAACATGAGGTGATCTCAGGAAACCGGGGCTGTCAGAGGGTGCATGGGTGGTTCTGGAGAGGAGAACCCTAGACTCCTGGGAAGTGAAGGTGGAAAGTCTCCGTTCCCCAGAGCAGGTCTCCTGTGGCCCCACAGCCCACTGGGGCCCAGCAGCATTTCCCCGGGGGTGGGGGCACTGCAGCTCAAGGCAGAGTTGGACTACACGGCGCACGCATCCCTCTGCAGCTGTGGTTGGAGGTCCAGTGGGACCCTTGGGGTTGTAGTGCATGTGTAGGGGTTGCCCACCTCATAGCAGCTGGGGGGGGGTGTGTGTCCCAGTGTGCAGCACACGGGACGCCTGTCACAGAGAGAGTGAGTATGTGCGTGCATGCGTGTGAGCAGCTGCAGGCACAGGCTGAGGGTCTGGGTCACTGGGTCTTGGTTGTTAATGAGGGTGGTCATCAGCACTTGGGGACCTTGGATAGGAAGCAGTGCCTCCTTGAGTACAGATCCGTGGGGATAGTGGGACAGCTGCTTTTCAGGGATGTACTGTGATGTTAGACACTTCAGCCGCTGAGTGGGGTGGCTTGGTGTCAGTTGTGAGTAGGCAGGAAAGAACCAGGAGGCAGGAGGCCGAAGGATATGGGCCAGTAGGATGAGGCAGACCACTGCGAGAGTGACCTGCTGAGGGCACCCAGGGCCAGGATGAGAGTGAACTTGGGTCTGTGTGACCTTGGGCGGGGCCCCTTTCGCCCGTCTGCCATCAGGAGTTGGCATCCTTCACCTGCCAATGTCTTGGGGCCATTTGGGACGTCTCCCGGGCGGGCTCCTGGAGAAGGCCTATCTTGTCGGGGTGTGTCGGCCGGGTCTCCTGTGTGCCAGGGGCGGGGTACTCTGCAGGTTCTATGTGGGTGGGGGGGGGGGTTTGAATCGCTCCCTCTCTCCCCGCAGGAGTTGTGTCCACTGTGGTCCCTGACTCTGCCCACAAGCTTTTCATCGGGGGCTTACCCAACTACCTGAATGACGACCAGGTGAGTCCCCTGCCTCCCCCAGCTACCACCCCCTGACCACCACCCCTACATCCCCCACTCCCCCCCAACACTGATGTTATCATGGCTCTATGCAGGTGAAGGAGCTACTGACATCATTTGGGCCCCTTAAAGCGTTCAACCTGGTTAAAGACAGCGCCACAGGGCTCTCCAAGGGCTATGCCTTCTGTGAGTACGTGGACATCAACGTCACGGACCAGGTAGGTCTGGGCACTGGGACGTCTGGGATGGGGAAGGAAGGGGGTGTGTCTTGTGACCCAAGCATGTAGGATGAGGAAACAGGTTGAGGGGGGTGGGGTTGGGTGAGACTGCCCCCTGACTCCCCTCTTGCCCCCAGGCCATTGCTGGGTTGAACGGTATGCAGCTAGGTGACAAGAAGCTGCTGGTCCAGCGGGCGAGTGTGGGCGCCAAGAATGCCACGCTGGTGAGCCCCCCGGCACGTCATCTTCCATTGCTAGAGGGACCCCGGGGACGGGCCGTTAGAGAGGGAGGCTGGGCGGGGGGTGCCCGGGCCCCCTGTGACCGATGCTCCCTCTGCCCACAGAGCACCATCAACCAGACGCCCGTGACCCTGCAAGTCCCCGGGCTCATGAGCTCCCAGGTGCAGATGGGCGGCCACCCTACTGAGGTGCTGTGCCTCATGAACATGGTGCTGCCTGAGGAGCTGCTGGACGACGAGGAGTACGAGGAGATCGTGGAGGACGTGCGTGATGAGTGCAGCAAGTATGGCCTGGTCAAGTCCATCGAGATCCCCCGGCCCGTGGATGGCGTCGAGGTGCCCGGCTGCGGAAAGGTCAGCGCCCCCCCACCCAGCACTTTGCTTGGGGCATGCGAGTCCTTATGTGTGTGCATGTGCCTGCCTTGACGGTCCCTTTGTGTGTGGTGTGTCCTGTGCCCTGCTGAAGCCACACAAACCCCCCCCCCACACACACACCTTTGTGGGCCTGCCATGTCGGACCTGGCTCCTCCTCCTCCTCTGCACAGGGTCCGCCTGGTGCAGCTTGGCGCAGCAGCCCTTAGCTGTGAGGCAGGATCAGACTTGGCTGCTTGGCCTGCCTTCCAAGTCCCACGTATTTTCCTTGTGCTGTGTTTTCACTGCTCTTCCCATCCTCATCCTTATTATTTTAGATGTACTTCCTGGTTGAGCACGTACACCAGTTCAACCTTGTCTGCTGGACCACTGAGTGGAGTTGGGGACGCCCTTGGAGCCCCACAGGTTCCTGCCTTGTGCCCAGTCGCTGTGGTAGACCACAGTGAAGCACCTTGCTCATGGCCAATGTTCTTTATCAGTGAAGCCAAATTTTAGTTTTAAGATCACTTCAGGGGATAAATCCTGTTTAAGCTTTAAAGATGAACTTGGGGCTGTAGTTCAGGAGTCTATCAGCCTCCGAGGCTCCAGAAAAATCATTCTGCCACCATTGGTGAGGTTTCTTCTATGGAATCTTTGAGCAAAACTGTTCAGTAATGGTAGCCGGGCATCATCCAGTTTTTCTGATTTCATAGCAAAGGACAAAAGTGGTGGTTGGTGGAGGCAGTTTGGTTCCCTGTCTATTTCCCTGGCTGCCTCTCCTCTGCTGATCAGGCCAAGAGACCAGTTGTTTCTTGAATGGCTGTCTGCACACTTTAAGACTGCAGGTAGTATTAGAACTAAGAGGTGGAACAGAAACACTGAGCATGGCATTAGGCCAGTTTGCTGGGATGTCCCATGAAGCCCTGGCCCTAGGCGCCAAAGCAAGGAACACAAGCGAGGTCGCCGCCACAGCCGTCTGTCCTTGTTAGGAGTACCTATGATCACGTGATTTCTGCCAACTCCGTTTTTATACTTGTGCAACTTACTGACACCAAACAGAATGGGCTCCAAACCCTGTTGTAATTTTTCACTCGGAGCAAGTTTGTAGGACAGGGTAGAACAGCCCTCCACGGCTGTCTTTCTCCTTAGGAGCTGCGGATGAGTCCAGCTTGGAACCCTGAGCCCCTAAACACTGCGCCACCAGGGCTCCTAGAAATGACTGCTCATTGGCTGTCTGACTGTAATCTAGGTCAAGTTGTCACCGCCAGGCCTTACAAGTGTGACTCTTTGCAGAGTGTTTCCCGCCTTGTAGTTAGCTCTGTGCCAAGCCTGCTTGGAGAGTGGCCTGCTTACAGTGGTACACAACCTTTCACATCTTCATGTGCTGTTTGTACACTTAGGTGACAGTACAGTGTAAACACCCTTTTCTGTGCACCCCTCCTCCCCCCCAATTTTTTTTTTTTGTGTGTGTGTGCGCGCCATGCATTGCTCGGCTGAGGTCAGCCTGTGTACAAAAGTAGAGATCCTGAACCTTTTTCAGGCTGGTCAAGTCTCTTTGAGGCTGGTGCTGGGGCACCCCTACCCAGCTGTGTCTGCTCAGTGTGTCCTCCTGCCAAGGCTGGTGTGACTGAAGCCAACAGACACTATGGCCCTGTCTGTCTTGGGCCCTTACTGAGCCCTTCAGTCTTTACAGCTTACTGGTCCTGCAGCCATCCAACAAGGGTCCCAGTGTTTACTGATTCTACCAGGTCTACCGCCCACCCTGCCCAGCTATGTTGGCGACACATGAGGTCATTTGTTCTGTAGACTGACTGTTCCACACACTGGAGCACTGGATGAAACGCATTGTGCGGTGTTGTGTCCCGCCCCCCCACCCCTTTCCTGTAAGCTGCTGGTGGAGCCTATTCCATCCTGTGCTTCAAGGTTCTCTGCGACCCGACCGCATTACAGCTGGGGGGCTATTTCTCATCTCCGTGTCTGTGTCCCCTGGACCCCCTTGTCTGCCTGGCAGGACCTTCCCTCCACATTCCCCAGCATTCTCCCCGTGAAGATACCTGTGGTTCGGATCCGTGATCCAGGGCTCTCGGGGGATGTTTGGGTGAACCGCTCACAAACCTGCGCAGGGTTGGGGCCTGGTTAGCCGGCCTGCCCCTCGGGGCCCTGATCTTGATCCCGCTTCTTGTCCGGCAGATCTTTGTGGAGTTCACCTCCGTGTTTGACTGTCAGAAAGCCATGCAGGGCCTGACTGGCCGTAAGTTCGCCAACCGAGTGGTCGTCACCAAGTACTGTGACCCGGACTCCTACCACCGCCGGGACTTCTGGTAGAGACAGGCGGCGCACAGCTCGGCGTGCGGGGCGGCGGGCTGGGCCTAGGGGCCGGTCTCTGCTGCCCCGCAGAAGACCCGACAGACAAAACTTGGGGAGAGGAGCAGCAACGAAGCAACTGGAATGGCAGCGATGGGGGGCGGGGTGGGGGAGGGAGCGGGCAGTGGTCAAGAGTGGCCGAGGGCACATGGCGGGTTAGGACCCCACGCCCCTCCCCCTCAGCTGCCCCTTGCTCCCACCCCGCCCATGGTAGGAACATAGCGTGTTTATATTTTATGGCCAAACGATTTTGAATTTTGTTGCCTGGCCCCCGGTGCGCCCCCAACCCCCCAGGACCACAGCTCCTGCCCCGCGACCTCGCCCTCCTCCTCCCCAAGCCCCGGTTTCTTAAACGTAGTTGACCCCTTTAGTCTCCCAGACCTGTGCCCGCCTCGTGCCCCGGCCCCTGTGGCAATTTCATATTTGCTAAGACGAATTTGCTCATTAAACATTTTGTTGTATTTTACTTCACGGAGCTGGCCGTCTGTCTCTGGCCTCGCCCTCAGCCGAGGGTAGTGCTTAGCGGGAGGACCGCCTGGACTGGCTAGTCCTCCGCCCCTCCCCGGACGGCGCGTGACAGCTCCCGTCACCGCCCATTGTACCCGATGGTGGGGAGCGGGTGTCCCCTTGGGCCCTAAGTGGAACCCGCGGCGGCGGGGCCGGAAGTGAGGTCACGGCGGAAGTGCTTGTGCGTAAGGCTTGGCCGGGGCAACCGCGCAGGCGCCTCGCTGGGAGGCCGGGCCCAGGGTCACTTCCGCTTCCGGTCCGTCTCCTTCGGTTGCTTCCCGTCCGCTCGGCGGCTCCCCTCCCCCGCCCGGCTCTCTGCGCCCCGTCCCGGGCGGCGGGCCGGCGGGCCGGTCGGCGTGCGGCCCCCGAAGCGTCCGCGCGAACGCCCGAGCGCGCTGCCGCCGCCGCGACACGGAGGCCGAGCTGGGGCAGGGGCTTGACCGCCATGACCCCCCGGAGCTCGGCGTGAGGGGCCGAGGTGAGCGCGAGTGGGGCGGGCGGGCAGGTTGCCTCAGGTCGGCTCTGGACTGCTCCTGCGGCCTTTGTGTCCGTCAGTCCGGCGGCCCCCGCCTAGCGGCCGGCCAGCGTCGCCCCTCTGTCTGTGCGGCCGTCCGTCGCCGCGCGCCTGTCATCTGTGCGCGGCGGTGACTTCCGCTGCTCGCTGTCTCCACCCCGTCTGTCCCCCCACCCCGCAGCGCCTCTTCCTCCCTGCCCGTCTGGCCCCCGGCCCACCTCGCCCCCAGCCCCAGAGGCCCCTCCCTTCCGCAGGCCCCAGGTGGGGAATCTGCCCGCGCCGCCCCACCTCGCTTCCCAGGCCGGGGCAGCCCAGGGCCCCTTGCTGGCCAGCCCGGCTACTTGGCAGGTGACTTATCTTAGCCCTGAACCCCGCCCCTTCCCAGCCTCTGCCCTGGGGTCCCAACAGCCCCACGTGGTGGGCCCCAGACCTGGCGCACCCAGGCCAAACTGGTGCTCCCTCGGGTGCTTGCTGTTCCATTCCAGGGCCTGAAGCTGCCTGCCTTCTATTGTGTTGCTGGACCTGCTCCTAAGATCCCTGGCAGGCTCTGACCATTAGCCCTACTGGGCTGCTGCAGCTCAGCTGGAAACAGCTTCTGTCCGTTTTCCTTCTACTCTGATGAGAGTGACAGCCAGAGCCACCGTTTTCCTCCTACAGCCGCTGTCTGTCCCCGCCTGGGTGAGAGGCTTCTGCCGGCTTAACAAACTCTACCACGGAGTGACCTACTCCGTGGCAGCATCCTGGTCCAGGATCCGGACCCCATTTCCACTGTGGGGTCATGTCCCATTTGGGGGCGACGTCTCTGTCCCAGGACACTGCCTTCCTAGGTTCGGGGTCTCTGCCTTTCCCGGCCTTCTTCCTGCTTGTGTGTTCACACAGCTCCTCACTCTTTCCGGTCATTCTCCTCGTCTGCCCCAGACCCTTAGTCTTGGAGTCTTTGTGTTGTGTGTCTGGCCTCCCTGGGGCCTTGGATGTCCCCTTTAATTGTCTGACCCCCCCACCCCCTACCCCCCACCCCAGTGCCTGACTAGCTGGCCTGCGTTCTCCCTTGTGGCCTAGGGAGCTTAGGTGGTGGTGAGGCCCCATGCTTGCCCATCTTGAGTGCACAGAGCCTGCTGTGGGGTTCAGGCTGGTGGAGTGATGTGTGTGTCCCCGTTTCCCCCCCTCCCCCCCTCCCCCAGCAAAGGTGTTCCCCCTCCGGCCCCTCCTGTGAGTGGCCGTGAGTCACAGAGCTGTCTGGAGGGAAAGGCCTGAGTGAGGGACAGGCTGGTAAGAGGTAAGAGCCACCTGAGTGCTTGCTGTTGGCTTCCTTAGGGGCCCAGATGGTTGAGCTGTTTGATTGAAAGGTCGGCGGTTCCAGCCACCAGTTGCTCTGTGGGACAAAGATGTGGCTGTCTCAGTAGCCCTGGGCCGCAGCTCTGCCCTGCAGTAGAGGGCATTGACTCTAAGGCGCACAGCAGCGGTGGCTGCTACAGCAGCAGTGCTGGTTCCCTCTTGCCAGTGTAGGGTACATGCTGCCAGGCCCACTGCACTTGGAAACCACCAACTCCCTGCCCCTGTAAAGAGTAAGAGTCTCAGAAACCCACAGGGGTTGTTCCACTCTGCCTTGTCGGGTGGCTGTGCTGGATGGCAGTGAGTGTGTGTGGTTTTGGGTTTTTCTTGGGTCTCCCCCGCCCCTTTTTTTGCCCAGGTGAGGTTGGGGATCAAAGGCTGGTGATCCCCTGCATTTCCAGGGGCCTAGCCTTGCTCCCTAGTCCCTCTCAGCCCAGAAGCCCTTTTGAGGCCTGCTAAGCCCACTCTGGGGGGCCGGGAAGGAGTGGTGGCTGTGTGTGAGGGGTTTCAGGCCTGCCTGGAAGGTGAGACTTCTCCCATTGACCCCCCCCCCCCCCAATCTCCCACACCCCAAGCCTCCTCGCTTAGTGTCGCTTCCTTGAAACAGCAGTACCTGTGTGGAGACAGCTGGACCTCGATGGGTCTCCCTCTGCCTTCCTGATCTTGGGGTTGGACCAGGCCTGAACTGCTTCATGCCCACGGGCCACAGACCCTTACCACCTCTAGTCTGGATGCAGCTGCCTTAGACAGCAAGCTCCTTGAAGGAGATAATGCCTTCCCGGCCTGCGGCCCACAGCCTGGAGCAGGCAGGGGCTCCTTATCTCCCTCTCCGGCTGACTGGCCTTCAGAGCCCCACCCTCCAGGCTCTGGAGGCGGGGCTGTCCCCAGTGAGCCAACACGTTCCCCCAGGCTTCCTGCCCTGGGCTCTTCCTGCCCTTCCGCCCTTCCTGCCTTCCCGGCCTTGAGTGGCCCTTCCCAAGGCCCTTCCGGGCCAGCCAGCTCCTCTGTTGGGAAAGCCATATACAGAGGGCCACAAGGGCCACCCTGAGCCATGCAATCAGGACAGAGAAGCCAACCCATGACCTCCAGGCCTGCTGACCTGGGAGGGGCCACTGAGGGGGATCCTGCGGGAGAAGGGAAGAGCCCCAGGCAGGATGCACTGTCTGGCAACCTTGGCCAAGCCTCCACCCCATCCTATGGAGGAGAAGACCAAGGCTGGTGCCCCCGGGGGCCCCCCCTTCCATCTCAGTACCCGCTCTGTCTGCCAGGCCAGCTGGGGCCCTAAGGCCGGAAGGAGCTGGGCAACTATGAGGAACTGAAAGGTTAAGGGGCCACGGTTGGGGAGGCACAGTGGGGAGCCAGTCACCCGTGTTTCCAAAGGCCCCTCCTGTTCCCCCTCAGATGCGCTGACCGCCAGACCTTGCTGCAGCTCCCCTCTGCCAGCCACAGTCGCCTCTTGACGCCCCGGGCGGGGGGCCAAGCCCCTCGCCAGGCACCATGTCGACCTCGTCGCTGCGGCGCCAGATGAAGAACATCGTCCACAACTACTCGGAGGCGGAGATCAAGGTCCGAGAGGCCACGAGCAACGACCCCTGGGGCCCCTCGAGTTCCCTCATGTCGGAGATCGCTGACCTGACCTATAACGTGGTGGCCTTCTCCGAGATCATGAGCATGATCTGGAAGCGGCTCAACGACCACGGCAAGAACTGGAGGCACGTCTACAAGGTCGGTGCGCACGGACGGACTGGACGGACGGA